AGATGAATGATAAATCGAAGTTGTTATATTAGGAATTTTGAATCATTCGGAATTATGAAAATCGGTATTTTGAAATTCGTGATTGTAACTGACGAAATAAAGGTTTTCGTAGTTGGTTGACATGTAGGTCTGAAATATAATGTCATTTATTTTACTATATTTTGCTTTTTGTAACAAATATAGATCAAGTACCTGTGAGTTAGTCTATGCTGAAATTAGCATTTTCATGTACTATTTGTTAAAAGTAATCTAGAACACTCAATTTCTATGTATTTCTAGAAGCAGAAAATAGGTCTCGCCGCTTTCCTTTATATTTATACTAGACTTTGTCTGTTGTCGTGGTAAAAATTAGCCCGTTTTACTTGCCAATAATGTAGCTATCCATTAATGATTTTTTTTTTTAAATCAACCAAACTCACTTTCTCATTAAAAATATATCAGCTTTTGTCCGTGGCTCCGCCCGCGTGTATGTCGGTTATCGCGGTATATAGTAGCCTATGTTACGTGCCGATTATGTAGATTCCATTGCTGAAAGAATTTTTATAATCGGTTTAGTGGTTTAGGCATGAAAGCTTAACAAATAAACTCTCTCTTTCACATTTATACCTAGCTGAGACCCGCGGTGTTACCCGCGTTTGTTGTTATAACCGCGGGCAACGTCGCGGGGCGAAGCTAGTCCAAGAAAAGTAGCCTAAGTTACTCCTTACATCAGCTATCTGCCAGTGAAAGTCCCGTCGAAATCGGTCCAGCCGTTCCAGAGATTACCCGGAACAAACAGACAGACAGACAGACAAAAATTGTAAATAATGATATTTTGGCATATGTACCGTGTGAACATACATATGCATTTAGTAAAAAGCGGTTATTTTATTTATTTATTTAAATCTTTATGCACAAATGTGGCAAAGGCGGACTTAATGCCGTAGGCATTTTCTACCAGTCGACCTTAGGGTGATGTAGAGCCAATCGTGGTAGATGCACATAAATTAAAAATGTGGTTTATTAAAACTTTTTAATATTACAAACAGACACTCCAATATTATTTATTTGTATAGATAAAGTATGGAAGTATGGTTTCATTAAAAAACTGTATCGTATGCGGAAAATAGGTTTTATAGAGGTACTGCATATTTCAACAGCATTTTTTATATCCAAATACTAGCCGTTCCAAGCAGTTACATGTACCTTAGTCGTTACTGCTCCTTTTTAAAGGGTTGTAACGTGATGTAATATAATTATAACCTACTTTACAATATAATGTATCGAGTATAAGCACCATTGCATGAACGAACGACCAAACAAAATTTCGAAAAAATTATACTCGTAGTTTAAGAAAACAAAAAAAAAACACGCTTTTTTTCTGTAAACTAAAAAGTAGGAAATAATTTTCTATAAGTGCAACAAGAAAAATCATTTTATCGTAAAAAAGCGTAGGGAGATCTCAATTGTTGTAAAAATATTTTACTGACAGAAATTGATAAAAGTAAAATTATTGTATTATAAAATACCTTGGGGTGCCCCATTTTTTTTACGATAAAATGAGTTTTCTTTTTGAACATATAGAAAATAATTTCCTTTCCTTTTAGTTCGGCTAGTTAAAAAGCGTGTTTTTTAGTTTTTTTTTAAAACTATAATTTATTTTTACTTTTTTAGACATTGATGACGATTATTATCCTTTTAAGAATCAAAAAGGAACAAGTAAGTTTATCACATATTCTTCAGCACACGCCTTAGTACGTGGCAAAAGACACTACCGTATTTCTAGAAATTGAAAAAGCCGTTAATCCTGAAGGTCTTAATCAGGAAAATGGGATAAACTATTTAAATTATTGCATTGTCATCGGTCCTTGATAAGATTTATATATAAATCGACGTTTAAATCACGTTCGAATATTCCGTTACATACATACATATGAAGCTAATAAGGCAATAACACCAAAAAAAAAGGTTACATGTCTAAAAATATTAATTGGTGTAGTCATCGTCTCGAGTCGGCAGTTCAACGCCATTTACAAATGTTGTCAAGCCCCTGGCTGTGTGCCAGTGTATAGGCGACATATTTTGCGGGGTTGACCTCATTTTTTAGCCCCACGCTGTCTCGTTTCCTTTGTTTTTTGTCCTATTTGGCTCAATGATCTAGAAGGTGTGTTTTGAGCAGAACCTTTATGCTTTTCAATGTCGCGGTTAAAATTAGTATCAGTTGAGTAGGATATTTTTAGGCTCATAATAAAAAAATAGTGTTTCATATAATTTTTTTATCAATACACAGGTTCCACAGTGTGTTCTAGTTAATACATTAAAATGATAGCTGAATAAACGTGTATACCACGTGTTAAATAAAAAATATTATGGCTTGAGCAACTCTCTTTTCTTATAACTAGTAACTATAGGTATTCTGTTACTTAACATTGGTAGATATAGTAAAGGGTTTTGGATATAACGAATTAGTACTACTGATTATGACAGACTTAATAGTACATTTCATATATACATATAAACAACAGCGACCAAGTAGAAAATTGGTGGTCGAAAATTTCTTGCGCGAAACTTATTTGTCACATTATGATTACAAAGACCCCACTACGCAATGGCCAGTGATGGCCCATGCTCTGCAACAGGACATAATCACGTAGGTGTTCACACAATGGTGCATATGTCATTGTTGCCTGGCAAAACATTTGCGATGAACGTATTTAGTTCTGTTAGCAATCCAATTCAAGATTGATATCCTTACTTATTTTATAAATGCGAACTTAACTCTGTCTGTTTGTCTGTGACGCTTTCACGGCTAACCTGCTAACCCGATTTTGATTAAATTTGGCATTACTTTGATTATTGAGGAAGGACATATACTACTTTTTACTGCGATAATCGATATAAACGCGGCGGAGCCACCGACAAATGCTATTAAATCTATAAACTTGAAAGTCTCTTCATTGAGCTACGATAATGAAATTTTGTGCTTTCATAAAATCAAGGATATGCACCCAACAAAAGATGTGTTATACCGTATACGATTCCTTTAAAGTTTGCCAAAAAAACCAACAACATCCCGATTGCACGCCATGATGGCCAATCGTCCGCCACTGTATGCTATTGCCTCCTGTTTACAATGGTGATGGCTTGCCGTGGGCCAGCATGAGCCATAGTGTACTAGGGCCATAACATTGTGATGTAATTAAAACTGAGTTACAAACTGTTGAAAGTAATAATTTAAGCGGTTTTTTTACTCCCATGTAAAGTGGCTCGGGCAGTATTGTTCGATAAGCGACGGTATATGCTAATAGTAATGATGTTAGGCTTCTAACTTAATCGGGATGGTGCTTAAATGTTATTGTATCCTGAATAGGATAATTTAATAATTATATCCCGGTAATCTCGTGCGCGACCGTCCCGCGGGGTGACAGACAGTGGCGGGGGCGAGGTAGCGCGTCATTCTAGCACACGGCTACACACGAAGAGAAGCGTTTCCCTTCCCCGCTACACCACCCGCTACCCGCTGACATCTTGAGTACCTCGTCCCCGCCACCGTCTGTCACCCCGCAGGACGGTCGCGCATAGGGTTGCCAACTTTTTTTACAAGAAATAAAGTATATTCAGGTCTATGAAGAATATTAAACAGTATTTTAGAAAAATGAACAGTATTTTATTTATTTATTGTTTTAAATACATATTTTTTAGAACTTTTTGCACAACTAACTAATTTAAAATCTTTTTTAAAAACTTCATGCGCCTCATCACAATCATAACTGAAATTAAAATAAATGAGGAGCTCATTTTTTATTAAATTAATAGATGCTCTATTTGTATCCTCCCGCCACTTAGCATTCATTACTGAAAAAACTCTTTCAGTAAATGCTGATTCTGAATATAAATCACCCATACCAATATTGAGTCTATACAAATTTAGATTATCTATAATTTTCTCAAAATGATCAAATGTGACAGAAGACTTCAATGACAAACAGCTAATTAAAGAAAGCCAGTTAGTCTGACTGAAATCAAACCATTTCTCTAAATACAAATTAGCCTTATTAATAAAAAGTATGAAGTTATTAATAGTTCTATTATAAACTTCTTGGGCAGACTCTGTAATAGTATTTAATACTTTTTTTGTTTCATGGCCAAAATACTTATCATTTTTCCTTTGAACTAGCTCAGTCTTTAAACCAGTCATAATGTTATAAACATCTAAGATAGTTACATTATTTCCTTCTAATTTTTTAAAGTGATTTGTTTGTGGCTGCGCTACTCTGAGCAGTGAGCGCCCTCTGACTAAATAAAAACAAATTTGTGTGAGCGTCTAATAACACATAATGTGTTAGCATTTTGATTCTGAAAACAGTATTTTGTATACTTTATTTTTGTTCAACAGTAAAAAGTATAATTTAGTGAAAAACAGTATTATACTGTTTAAAACAGTATGGTTGGCAACCCTAGTCGCGCACGACGTTGATGGACTATAGGTAATTTCTTAGGATTTACTTTGACACATTGTTCTGTGATGCTTTATATCTGAGCTTAGCGATTCTTATTTCTAAATAGTTTTTAATTATTTTAATGAGTTTTTTCAGGTAGTCACGTATAGGTAGTTTGGGTAGAGTTTAAGTAAACAACAATAGACGCACTTAAATTTTATTTTGAAAACAACTCTGTTAATCACTTCACCAGATACAACTCATTAACATATTAGACTATAATATATTTGTTTATATATCATTATCATAAGAGTATTCAAGAGGAAACAGTAATGATGATACATCAACAATATATCATTAAGTAATCACTTTGAAACGTGATTACTGAGCCCTTGTTTATATATTCAGTGAGCTTTATCAATCACTGTGTGATAAGGGGTCAAACTTGAACACCACAGTTGGTTGTGAACCTCACATGAGTGCAGTTCTGCAGTGCTAGTGCTAGATTTATTGTGAAACATCGTATTTTGGAGTAATAGTGTTTGTGTATTAGTGGATACATAGGATCTATTGAATACTACCATGGGTGATTTATGTGTAAGTTATAGTTGTAAAAATAAATTTCTAATATATAAAATTCTCGTGTCGAGGTGTTGATTTTTATGAAATTTTGTGTGTATATCGGGTAGGTCTGAGAATCGGCCAACATCTATTCTTTAAACCCCAAAATGATAAGGGTGACTTACCTCTAAATTTTCATTTTACTTTTGACAATTTTTTTATTATGATTTAGCATTGAAAAATACATACAACTTCAAATTTTCAACTTTTATTATATTTCCTAGAAATAATGTATATGGCAAAACAACATTTGCCGGGTCAGCTAGTAATTTATAATAAGTATTTCGTCAGTGGGGTGCTAACGTTTTGATACAAATCGATAAAGAAGGATATTGTGCATTCTTTCGACTAGAAGGCTTATTCTGGTAATAAAAATTCTTTCAAAATTCAATTCCTATCCACTATCGATCACAAAACATGTCATAAAAAATATTCTTGCAGTAAAGTATTACTAAGACTACCAGAATACCGGTCAATTCAACTTTCGTTCACAATACGATATATTTATGCGATAACATTACAGTTTATGTTGTCCGTGTGGTGACGGATTAAGAATACGGAATGTCACCTCCCCTATTCATCCCGTTGGTGTCGTAAGAGCCGACTAAGGGAGCAACTACGCAGGACAAGAGAACTGCAAAGAGAAGGAAAACTTGACACAAACCCTATACCAACCCGTCTGGCCAGCGTGGTATAGTAGGCCAAAACCTCCTTTATAAGGAGAGGCCTGTGTCCAGCAGTGGACTGTTATAGCCTGTTGATGATGATGTGATGTGATGCTTTAATACTTTTCTATGAGAATACCTTTTATGACATTTCTGAGATCGATAGTACATCAAAACTGTATTTTTCGAATTCTTATTACGAAATTTGACCTTCTGTCTGAAAGGAGATAGCTTATCAATAAACGTACTTTTCATTTCCATTCATAAAACGTAACGGTGCTTAAATAAGTACTGGTTTAGCACAACATAAGTTAATCAATTGCTTTTGGATTCGTAACCTACAAAATGAACCATGTGATTTATTAACCAACACTCAGCTAATACGGAATTGATAGTTCAACATCTTTTCTTTTTTTCTTAATAAAAAGACAACTCCCGCATTAGGAATAAGCATATCCTGTGTCGCGGGGGACGTCACAAACATACATGAAACGGACACAAAGAACACCCAGACTCAGAACAACAATTTGTAGATCACACAAAGTGTCGTCCCATGTGGGGTCGGACCCACAGCACTTAGCGTAGTAGTAAGCGGCGTGGCGACCGCTTGAACCACTACGCCATCCGCCATTATAAAAATTATAACTAAAGTTTACTAAAATATTTGCAAGAAACATTTGCTTCACGTTCAGTAGAGCAGTTATTTCGATATGTTAAGTGGATAGTTTTGACTTGCTGTTAGAACTTCAATGACTATTATATTAAAAGTAAATACTCGTTAAGTATTGAGCTACATATTAGTGTAATTCTTATGATCCACGTTTGAGAGCCATGCTTCGTCAAGAATCGGCATGGGCCGACTCGACCGGAGTGGTACCACGGCCTCACAGAAAACCGGTGTAAAGCAATTCTTTCGTTGCCTTTCAATGAGTGAGTGAGGTTACAGGAGCCCAAATCCCCCCTTCCGCTGATTCGAGCGTTAGGGACTCCAACGGTAGCAACGCACTTGTGACTTTTGAGTTGCAGGTGTCCATGGGCGACGGTAGTTGCTTACCCATCGTAGTAGATGACCCGTCTGCTCGTTTCCCCATTATACCATAAAAAAACAGGTTTATATCTAGAAAGCCAAAGCAAAGTTCCATGTGACAATATCCGTTTAATTCGACGTGACGGGTTGAAAAGTAAATGTGTGTTCTATTCACATTGGATAAACTATTACTTTGTAACTCTTTAGTAACTTGTTGTTTACTTTCGTAGATAATGATATCGTAGAGTTCAATTTTATTGATGTTTAAGTTGACAATCAATAATATTGAAGTCAATGTGAGAGGTTATTATACACAAATTACTAAATGTGATGATGTGTGTTATGTGATATGATGTGAATATTGAACTCTATGTTAAAGTTTATTATACACAAATTATAGTGAGATCATAGCATTTAAATTTACTTGGGTTATTCGAGTAATTTCATTTGATTTTCTTATTTTTTGGAGATTCGATTAGGGAAAAGAAATTACGTAAGCTTTACCAAATATTATTGTTTTTTTTTACGTTCAACAGAGTTTTTTAAACAAATGCTGACACGCAACGATGGTAACTAACGGCCTATGTTTTATATTTTAATGATATATTCATGAAATTATGCTTTTATAATACCTAGATGCTTTTTTTTTTGTTGACTTGGTGGAAGATCCTCATGGATGACGCTAACTGAGCCTTCAAAACTAACATGCTATTTCATTGCATTCCTTATTATGGTTGTTTAGTTACAAGTTATATATAAGTCGACTTTAAACTAAAAAAGAAAATTGTTACAAGTGGAAGATATACAAGGTTTTGTAGGAGGTATACACAAATACATACATACACGTCTATACTATATAATATTCCTATACTATCTTCCTTCTATCTAAACACTTCTATAACTAATATAATTACATATATCTTATTATTATACACTATATATCATTACAATATAATATGTAGTATTTATTTACATATTCTATACTACCAGCTACACTTTCACTTTATATAAATAATTTAAGTAAATCGAATAATATTTATTTATATTTCATTCGGTGTAGTGGGACCACACCCTAATCTTCGAGTCCTATTGTTTCCGCCGTCGGTCGGTGCAAGCGCATCGACCGCTGCATAGAATTAGTTCTCGTACTGCCCTCGGTCGCGAAACCTATTTTGTTGCCTATGAAACATATAAATTCTATGTATAAATATAACGTGTAAATCTGTGACATTATATATCAAATTTTCTCTTGATTGTTTCTTGTGCTGTGTTAATTGTTGTGAGTCTTGTTTCTCCTTCTGTGAGTGTAAATAAACTTGTGCTACTACCTTCCAATACAACTTTTATTTTTCTCAAACTTTCTGTAAGTAATTTTTATCTATACTACAACTGGTGACCCCGTGAAGAACACAATGAGTGATAGTAGTGACTCAGCTAAAACCACCGTTTCATCAGGAAACAAAAACCACGTAACGATACGTCGTGCAAAACCCGTCACTGTTTCGCGAAAAATGAGCATAAAAATACCTGCATTTGCTCCCGAGGACCCCGAAATCTGGTTTGCATTGCTAGAGGGGCAATTTGAGGCCATAGGCATTGAGGATGATGCAACGAAATTTACCCATGTCATCACTCATCTTGATTTGCACCACGCAAAAGCGGTGAAAGATATTATCGTTAACCCTCCCGTGAATGACCGGTATCTAAAAATAAAATCGGAATTGATTCGGCGGCTGTCTGCGTCGCAGGAGAAGAGGGTAAAGCAGTTGCTCACACACGAAGTACTAGGGGATCGAAAACCTTCACAATTTCTGAGACACCTGCTAGACCTAGCTGGACCCTCAGTCCCGGAAGAATTCGTAAAGTCTATCTGGAGTAACCGACTGCCTAATAATATTCAGACGATCTTGGCGTCACAGCCTACCCACTCTTTGGAACAATTATCGGACTTGGCGGATCGTATCCAGGAGATTACAGCGCCCTGCCACGTCGCAGAGACTTCATCCAGGTCAGAACCGAGTACCAGCGTGTCCAGTGAAATTGCTGAACTCAGGCAAATGGTAGAAAAACTTGCGTTGAAGCTAGACGAGCGCTCACGTTCCCCCGAACATAAATACCGCCGGACCAGAACACAGAGACGACGTTCTCCTTCTCGCCAAAGATCCAGGTCAAACTCGAGCTACCGCAAGTACCCTATTTGTTTTTACCATAGTAAATATGGCCCACGAGCCCACCACTGTGTTAAGCCATGTGACTACAACAAGTCGGGAAAAGCCAACGGCGGTCGCTAATGGCGACAGACGACTGCCCAGTGACTTCAGGTCGCCTCTTCGTTTATGACAGAACTACTGGTACCCGATTTCTGGTGGACACTGGGAGTGACCTGTGTGTCTACCCACGTTCTGCACTACGGAACCGTCGTACGAAGACTGACTACACCTTATGTGCGGCCAATGGCACTTCCATAGACACTTTCGGTAGCATAGATCTAAATTTAAATTTAGGTTTAAGACGTAATTTTTCTTGGCGCTTCACAGTGGCCGATGTAACTAAAGCTATAATTGGTGTAGACTTTTTAAGTTTTTATGATCTTGTTGTTGATGTTCGAAACAAAAAGCTTATTGATAATACAACTACATTATATTCTAGTGCTTCTGTAGCTCAAACTAATGTATGTTCTATTAAGGTAGCAACAGGCAACACCAGGTATCACGTACTGTTGGGTAAGTACCCCGAAATTACACGGCCGTCAGGCACTCCGTGGGTCCCAAAACACAATACAGTACACCACATCCGCACCACACCCGGTCCTCCTGTATCTTGCACTCCTCGCAGACTGGCTCCTGACAAGCTTAAAATTGCTAGACGAGAATTCGAACTCATGCTTAGCAATGGTACAGCGCGTCCCTCAGAAAGCGCATGGGCTTCTCCCTTACACCTAGCTCCTAAAAAGGACAACAGCTGGCGTCCCTGTGGTGACTATCGCATGCTCAATTCCCGAACCATCCCTGACCGGTATCCCATTAGGCACATTCATGACTTTGCGCATAGCATAGCGGGCTGCAAAGTCTTCAGTACGATAGATCTGGTGAAGGCTTTCAATCAGATACCAGTCTTCGAAGAAGATGTTCAGAAGACGGCCATCACCACTCCCTTTGGCTTGTACGAGTTCCCCTGTATGACCTTTGGGCTGAGAAACGCAGGTCAGACTTTTCAGAGATTCGTCGATGAATTGACTAGAGGACTTGATTTTGTTTATCCTTATTGCGATGATTTTCTTTGCTTCTCTCAGGATGAGGAACAGCATGAGCGTCACCTACAGCAGCTTTTCGACCGCATGAAGGAATACGGTATTTTGATCAACACTTCAAAGTGCGTTTTCGGAGCCCGCGAGGTAAATTTTCTAGGTTACCACATTTCGGCAGCAGGCACCAAGCCCCTGGAGGCGAAGGTCCAGGCAATTACAGACTTTCCAGTACCTAAGACAACCAGACAACTGAGGCGTTTCTTAGGCATGCTTAATTTTTATAGGCGCTTTCTGCCTAACTCAGCTGTAATTCAGGCTCCTCTTAATGCCTTACTTGCTGGCTCGGTCAAACCCTCTCAACCCGTCATCATATCCGGTGATGCACTGGTCGCTTTTAACCAATGTAAGAAATCTCTTGCAAACGCTGCACTACTTGCTCATCCAGACACCGATGCTAAACTAGCACTCGTGACGGATGCGTCTGACTTAGCGATGGGTGCAGTATTGCAACAGTTCAAGCAGGGCAACTGGCAACCACTTGCATTTTTCTCTCGCAAGTTTAGCCCCTGCCAGCAAAAGTATTCACCTTATGACCGTGAGCTTTTAGCAATATATGAAAGTATTAAGTACTTCCGGCATATGGTGGAAGCTAGACACTTCATTGTGTTCACAGATCATAAGCCAATTACATATGCTTTTCACGAGAGGAAGGCTAATTGTTCACCTCGCCAATATCGACATCTGGACTTCATATCGCAATTTACGACCGATATTCGTCACATATCTGGTAAAGATAATGTTGTGGCTGACACACTTTCGCGAATCGACGAAGTTCAGATGTCAATTAATCTTGATCAGTTGGCAGAATCTCAAGCCGATGACCAGGAGCTTTTGAAATACATTGGTGGTGATTTTTCACTCCGTCTTGAAAGGCTTAAGCTTCCTGGTAGCACAAAGAACTTATATTGTGACGTAAGCACGCCAAAACCTCGGCCTTTTGTAACCAAGCCTCTGAGAAAGCCACTGTTTGACAGCCTTCATAACCTCAGTCACCCAGGCGCTATGGCTACCACGAAATTGGTCGCCGAGCGGTTCGTCTGGCCTGGTATGCGTAAAGACTGTCGAGAATGGTCTCGTAATTGTCTGTCTTGTCAACGCGCTAAGGTGTATCGCCATGTTTCTGCACCTTTAGGTACGTTCGATCTACCACGTGCGCGTTTTACGTTTATCCACGTAGACATCATTGGCCCACTACCTCCTTCACAAGGTTATAGCTACTGCTTAACCGCAGTGGACCGTTTTACCCGTTGGCCAGAGGTCACGCCGATGAGGGATATGACCGCAGAAACCGTCGGCAAGGCACTAATATCCTGAATATCCAGATATGGATGTCCCACGGATATTGTTACAGACCGCGGCCGGCAATTTGAATCCACACTTTTCCAATATCTGGGAAAAATGATAGGATTTAATCATCGCCGAACAACCGCGTACCATCCTGCGTGTAATGGCTTGGTGGAACGGTTCCACCGTCAGCTTAAAGCGGCCATAATGTGTCATGCAGACTGCAACTGGGTCGATAATTTACCTCTAGTATTGTTAGGCATTAGGGCATCTTATAAAGAGGACTTAAAGGCTTCGTCGGCTGAACTAGTTTATGGCGAACCTTTACGTCTTCCGGGTGATTTCTTTCAGGCAACTGTCCCTGATTCTACGGATCTTACTGATTTCACATCGCGGTTACGTCATTTCGCACGGAAACTTCGTCCAGCCCCCGCTTCTCGCCATAATAAAAGCAATGTCTTCATTTACAAGGATTTAAAAGCTTCCAGCCACGTATTTTTAAGGGTCGGTGCATCACGAGGTCCGTTGGAACCTCCGTACTCCGGTCCATACGAGGTTCTAGAGCGTGGGGACAAAACATTTAAGATCTTAATGAAAGGTAAGAGCGTCACAGTATCTGTAGAGCGCCTTAAACCAGCCTACATACTCGTCGACCCCTCCACTAACAACTTACCTTCCCCAACCCCTACTAATAATGATCCCGTCATAGGTCTTACTCCTAGTCCCAGTCCTAACCAGAATAAACCTCCAGATGATCTGAGCACCAGAACCACACGTTCGGGCCGCAGGGTTCGATTTCCAGATTTTTATCGACCGTAGTGACGGTCTCAGGGGGGGAGTGATGTAGGAGGTATACACAAATACATACATACACGTCTATACTATATAATATTCCTATACTATCTTCCTTCTATCTAAACACTTCTATAACTAATATAATTACATATATCTTATTATTATACACTATATATCATTACAATATAATATGTAGTATTTATTTACATATTCTATACTACCAGCTACACTTTCACTTTATATAAATAATTTAAGTAAATCGAATAATATTTATTTATATTTCATTCGGTGTAGTGGGACCACACCCTAATCTTCGAGTCCTATTGTTTCCGCCGTCGGTCGGTGCAAGCGCATCGACCGCTGCATAGAATTAGTTCTCGTACTGCCCTCGGTCGCGAAACCTATTTTGTTGCCTATGAAACATATAAATTCTATGTATAAATATAACGTGTAAATCTGTGACATTATATATCAAATTTTCTCTTGATTGTTTCTTGTGCTGTGTTAATTGTTGTGAGTCTTGTTTCTCCTTCTGTGAGTGTAAATAAACTTGTGCTACTACCTTCCAATACAACTTTTATTTTTCTCAAGCTTTCTGTAAGTAATTTTTATCTATACTACAGTTTTATATTAAAAAAATGACAAACTCAAACAGTTCCCGACTATTTACTCACAGTGAAAATACAGCACATATCTATCTAAGTTCTCCGAGTGCTTTGACTAATTCTTCGGACTAGTACTGGATACATCACCTGGATAGTTGACGCTCCACTACTGTGTGTACTCCACTTTTTGCCTCGCACAACCAATCTGTGGAGCGGGTTACCAGCTGCGGTATTTCCGCACCGATACGACCTTCAAACCTTCATGAAAAGAGCGTACTCCTTCCTAAAAGGCCGACAACGCGTTTGTTACTCCTGAGTTGCAGACGTTCATGGGCGGCGATGGTCTCTTTCCATCAGGTGGCCCGTCTGCTCGTCAGCCAGTCAGATATAAAAAAAGTCAGCTTTCATTAATAGTAATAAACTGTTTTCTTTATTGTTTGACGGAGTAACTAACATAAAATATGTATGTACAACGTAGTTGAATTTCCTCCTTTTTTAAAGTCGGTTTAAAAAGATTTTTTTTCAAGACCAAATGTCTCCGCAATGTTTACTTTCAGAAAAAAATACCTTACAGAACCATCAAAGGAGCATTAAGTGTTTGCTACAATGGAATACGTGTTCATAGAACTGCACTGTTTTGATAGTTTGGTCCCTTTAGCGCCGGAGAAGGCCAACTGTTTTCGAGCGTATGTAAATAAATTAAACAATTTAATACAAAGCCTGAACTGTTTTACGGATTTCCACCATATGTATATAGGTATTTTGGATTTGTCTCTTTTGTGGGAGTTACATATTTAGTTTCTTAGTTATATTATTTAGCTTCTCAGTTCATATTTTTTTAGTAGTAAAGGGTTTTTCATTACACTCAATATTATTTCATTATAATGCTGACAAAAATATTTAAACGATTTTCAATTTCAAATTCTTTCGGTTAAAAAGTCGTTTCATGAATATCTAATGCTTCTGTTAATATAATACATTGTTATTGTAAGCGATGTACCTAAATACTTTGTATTTACTCCCCAGGTGCTTTTATCGGACCCTGATGCTGAGGTGTCGAGCTGGCCGCTGGAGCTCGTCGCGTTAAGAGACAAGATATACGGTGACGCGGCCAAAGCGCAGCAGGAGAAAGAGGTAAGTGTGGAATAAAGTGTTCTATAACTGTGCTGTATTTATTTTTTAAATCTTTACTTTATACTGGCCTTATTTGAAATATAACATAACGGTGTGAACATCGTAGTAGCAGTTGCCGACTAGCCAAACACGTCAGATACTTACTGTTTTTAATTTAAATTTAAAAGTCTTTTGATTTCATACAACATTACAAGCTAGTGAACTTAAACCTACTATATATAATACTTATGTTATATGATTCGATTCGAACCCCTCCGCGGGCGAAGGCCTCCTTCAAAGAAGCCAATTTATCTCTATCTTGAGCAGTTTTTATCCAGTCTGTACTAGCCGTTTTGTTGATATCATCCGCCCATCTCGTGACCGGTCTTCCTCTGTAGCCTCCTGGGCCTCTCCATGGTGTCACTCTTCTGGTCCATCGCTCTTCTTTTAGTACTACTTACTATTATCTAACATACATTTCGTCCAGAGATAACAACGTTCTGTCTTCGGTTGAAGATATGATGAGGGGTTTTGTCTTTAAGTCCATGCCTTGATTGTGGTTATTCACGTCTGCTGCAATAATAGGTGCAATCCGCTGGAAACTGACGCAATGTAACGTTACTTTTATTGTCATTGAAGGACTTTAAATTTACTACATTTATCATAAAGCGAGAGTTTATAAAATAGTATTTGTGAATAGTGTTTACCAAATATTTCCGTAACAATGTTAAGGTGATGTCTATAAACATTAGATACCTACACATTCAATGTTTATGTATTAGTGAAGTTAACTGAGATAAAAAAATTACCATTACTTGTTCACATAAATCTTTTTACAGTACTACTCATCACAGAATATATCCCTTGTAGCGTCCTATAAATTCCCATGCACTTAGAAAACATTATCTATAAATATCACTCCACCCTCGGATTCCCCTACCATGAGTGTTACTGCAACCATCCAGTCGTAAATCTGTACCACACATTACTAACAAAATTTACTTTTTGTCGTACCATGCTATTTTTTAGATGTGGTTCGTAGAAATCTAATTGGAGATGCCAGTTTAAACGGACGAGTGGTGTTCTCTTACAAATAACCAAATGTATTTATTACTAGCCGGTACCAGCGACTTCGTTCGCGTGGCATTTGAAAAGCGCTGCCGTAGTGGGTTCGATTCCCGGACCGGGCAAAATTTCAAAGGGTCTTTCTGAGAGGAAAAATAGCCTAAGTTACTCCTTATATAGACAGCTACCTGGTAGTAAAATATTATCAAAATCAGTGCAGCAATTTTAGAAGATTACCCGAACAAACAGACAGACAAAAAAAACTGGAGTTTAGGCATAGCTATCCTGCAAATAACCGCGTGAGCATGAAAAAAAACCTCTTTTTTTGACATTACAAAAAGACACTTTAATTTTATTTATTTGTATAGATGTTGTACTAGCTATTGACCACGGCCTCGTTCGCGTAATTATTTCTTATTTCGTGTTTCTAACTTTGAAAATAACGAACTTCCTACATCCATACCTTATTTTACCCCCCTTAGGGGGAATTTTCCAAAAATCCTAAAATGGCATCTGCCGTTACCGTGATGGGTATTATTACATTGTCGATATCTGGAAGAAGAAACCTACCAGCGCACGCGCAGTTTATATGTCTTTATCCCTGAAGGCGTAGACAGAGTTGTAAATTATCTATGATATATATGTATTTAGAAGTATATAAGTATTTGACGGTTGACGACAATTAGCTGATCGCCTATTACGTAAATGGGACCAAAAATTATACTCGGCAAAATGTAGGGATGTAAATACTCTTAGTGTATTTATTTATTATATTAGAGCAGGGTAACTATCATTATTTGCTTAATGAGATATATTTGCATAGAATATTGGTAAGTTTCAGGTATTACATAGGTAGTTTTGAATCAATGCCATATTCTGCCTTGTTTTGGCATGGAATGAGATAGAAAACTAAAAATAATTACAACATAGTTACTTGAAAAAGCAGCCTATTTCCCTAGTCAGGTAGATAGATAGATAGATAGATAAATACTTTATTTGTACACCAGGGTTTTACAGACATTATAAAGTAATTAACAGCAGATGTAATGTACAAAGGGCGGCCTTCTCGCTTAGTGCAATTTTTTCCAGGCACCCTTTGAATGGACTTGATTCATTTTGAACTGGTGATAGGTATACAGAAATTAGAGAAACCATCATCATCATCATCAACAGTCCACTGCTGGACATAGGCCTCTTCTTAGAAAGGAGGTTTTGGCCTACTTTACCTCGCGGGCCAGACGGGTTGATATAGGGTTTGTTTCAAGTTTTCCTTCTCTTTGCAGTGCTGTTCTCCTGCGTAGTTTCCTCCCTTAGTAATTAGAGAAATAAATAAGGTCTTAACCTATGAAATATCTATCATACATAAAGCCTACTAATCTATATTTATACATTAATACTATACATACATACGTTAATATATACATACACTAATTTCCAACTATTAGACAGAGACAGGTATCTCTGATTCGGGAAATGCTCTTCACGCTTCAAAGGTGTTGGAAGTACCATGAATAAGGTCATATGTCATTTTCTTGGGCTAATAAATAGAGTGCGATGCACCGGGTTGAGTGAACCACCATTCTAATTTTACCGTTTAACATTTATTTACTATGCGCACGCGCCGCCCGGCTGCCCAATCAAAATGTCACGTGACTATGACACCACCACCAGTGTAGCTTTTATGATCAACGTGATAATGAATCACAATCTGTCTGTTATTCAAAGATTATTTATGAGAGGACACTGATGTTTATTAAAAGGAGTCTAAGAACATTTAGATTAAGACAGTGTTATTAATGCTGTCTGTACTGAAGACTGTTTCACAATTAATATAATGTGCAATATCTTCGACGACGAATAGGCTTCGAATATATTGTCTACTAGCCGAGACCCGCAATGTTACCCGCGTTTGTTGTTATAACCGCGGGCAACGCCGCGGGGCGAAGCTAGTCTAAAAAAAAGTAGCCTAAGTGACTCCTTATGTCATCAGCTATCTGCCAGTGAAAGTCCTGTCGAAATCGGCCGTTCCAGAGATTACCCGGAACAAACAGTCAGACAGACAGACTAAAATTGTAAAAAAATGTTATTTTGGCATATGTACCGTGTAAACATAGATATAATGCATTTAGTAAAAAGCGGTTATTTTAATATTACAAACAGACACTCCAATTTTATTTATTTGTATAGATCTTCTACTAATAAGTAGTATTTTGAAGTAGATATTTTTAATGGACAACTCACAATTTTTTACATAAACCAAAACATATTTTTTAAGGTTTTACTTATGGATTCAGACCTTCAGATATTGTTCCAGTAATAAACAAAAACGCTTTGTGTTAACCAGTAATCCTTCTAAGAAGTGTTTAGGCGATTACTATAACCTCATGAAGTTTACAGTGACTTGGGTAAAATGTGAAAATGAAAAGAACATGACACAAGAATACGATACGACATATTTAAATACACGTTACGACGTCACCCATGCAAAATTTCAGGTGGGATGTTCTCTGAATTGCACCACTTTCATATAATATTTCGTTTTGTTTTTTTTTTCACAAGCTCATAAATACCTCACTATTTGAAAAATAGCCGAGAATGCGGCATATTTTGCTTTCGGAACCCATAAACACTGCACTGAACACGTGTCATAACTATTTTACAACTCGTAACGAGTGCATCTTAACTGTACTTCGACATCACAAAGGATTTGCAACCTTATTGGTTTGAAAATAAGTTGAAATCAGATTGTTTATTATCACAATAGTACTGCACTTGCTGAAGGGATTTTAGATTTTGTTTTCTCCAAGTGAAAGATCAGTTCAGATTGCAGGTGATTGCATTTATCACTTGTTCTTTATAGTGTGGTGGTTAGTATGTATGTTTTGTTTGTAGCAATTAGGTATGTTTTATGCAAGATGGGATAGTTTCCGTTTGGCGCCTATTTGTTAGATAGAAGACGGTTGTTGTATCTATGTTACACAATAAACTGAAATAGGAAGGAAAGATACTGACCACTCTTACAAATCCACCCTAATATTATGAACCAGCTGACTCGCTCAAGTTTTAAAATTTTTCCTCTTTTTTCCAACATTTTTCATTTTTTCCAGCTCCGTAGCGTTATGTTATAAAGCCTATATAGCCTTCCTCGATAAATGGGCTGTCCAACACTAAAATGACAATTTGAACCACTAATTCCTGAGATTAACGCGAAAAAATGAGCAGACGGTTCATCTGATGGTATGTGACTACCGCCGCCCACAGACTTCGCCCATTGTCTTTGAGAGGGTCCTTCGGTGGTCTTGCTTAATATGTGGGCCCGAAAGTATTACTGTTATTTAAAAAAAATTGAATTTGGTTTATTGTAAAATCAGTTATTAGGTTAAAAAGAAAATCCTACATTAGACTAGGACCTCGTCTGTATATTAAAAACATTTGCAACAGCAGTAGTATTTTGCGTGCGTAATCTACTCGTACCTTATCTCCTCCCCGTTTCATGGAACTCCTCGAATGGCTTCGGGTCCTATGGATTACATATATCTTTAATGACTATGAATGTCAGTAATGGAAGTTTTACCTAACAATAAATGTTTATCGAGTAACCACGGCTTATCCCCATAGCGAATAATAATATCAGAGGCAATATAGGAACCACAAAACATTGCCGAACAAACTGCATCGCTGCTCACAAATCCTTCGTCAACCCATATAACATGGCATTGATATTGTATGTAGCGCATGCGAATTATAGAATGAATACATTTATGGTTCGAGCGAGCAAACACTTGTTTGGTGACGGATCAAGAATACGGAGTGTCACCACCCCTATTCATCACATGGGTGTCGTAAGAGACGACTAAAGGAGCAAGCTACGCAGGACAACACCATTGCAAAGAAAATAACCCGTTTGGCCAGCGTGGTATAGTAGGCCAAACCTCCTTTCTAAGGAGAGCCCTATG